TCGAAGATATTAGAGTCCTCTAATTACCTGACTATTACAACAAAAAAAGGCAATCTACAGTAATTTTTTCGTAAAACCCATGATAACCAATTGACGGCTACGGCGGATATCATACTTGACCTCATTCTTGTTACAACAGAATAATTGACCGTTTTACCGGTGACATAACTATGGATATGAAACGTGTACGTACGTTTGTGTGCATACCAGCGACAGTTAAGTAGGGAAAACTCGGGTATTTTCATTTTGAATGGCTGCGTCGTAGACTTGCACCATCGACATCTTATTTTAGAAATCCTTGTTAATATCGTAAACCATGTGATAAAATGTTTAAAAAATATATTTTGAATGGTAGAATAACATTCTACTTAGTGCAACCATATCATGGAGTTTTGTACTTCTGGCGTACAAAGTTCCATTGCCCAAACTATATCAGTGGCGTAGAAACTATGATATTTTGGTCAAAACAATTTTCTACGCGTTTGATTCGTTTTAATAATGTATTGCATTTTTGAATACATAACACTGATCAACAGCCAAAAAATATCCTAAATAAAATCAACAAAATATTACTATTTTTAATGTGCTAAAACCGGAATGAAACTTATTTTTTCAATATTAGTTCAAGTTTTAGAGATACGGTAATTATATGTGTTCCTGCTGTGACAGTATTAATATACTGTAATTCACAAGAATGCACGTGCTACATTTTTATATTCGGCAAGGAAAGATGATGTAATCGGCATGATTGTGTTACGTTATACATACGTGTACATTATATTGTTTTATATTAGCCATTTTTTCCTCAGTTGGATGACAGCGTTCATGCAAGATGTCTCGAAAGTGTGTAAACAATCCAGATCAGTGTTGTTACGTGTGTGGTGATGTGACTTTTGAGTCTCAGAGACGGTCTATTACTCCACTAATAACAAAGGCATATCAGCTTTATTTCGGTTGTAAACTAGGTGATCAAGACAAACAGTGGGCACCCCACATCTGCTGTAATACATGTGCTTCAAGTCTGAGGAGCTGGTTAAATGGCAAAAAACGGTCTATGCGCTTTGCTGTCCCAATGGTTTGGAGAGAGCCTACAAATCATATTAATGATTGTTACTTTTGCATGGTACCTTGTGTTGGACAAGCCACAGGTATGTCCAAGAAAAAAAAATCGGTTATTAACTACCCAAACATACCATCTGCGATGAGACCTGTGCCTCAGAGTGACGAAAATGCTATTCCAAAACCCCCAGAATCCGACACCTGCGAATCAGAAAACGAATCAGATCATGGCGATCGAGTGATTCGTCAGGAAGAAGATATGCCATCAACGTCAAGAGATCCTGATTTTATACCGAGCACGTCATGCCACCAACCGCACAAAATAACACAGTCAGAATTAAATGATCTTGTAAGAGATTTAGAACTTCCAAAATGTAAGGCAGAGTTACTTGGATCAATACTGCAGCAGTGGAACTTGTTAGAAGAACCATTTTTCAATATGGAGAATAACTTGGTTTTCTGCAGTAACATTAACGACTTACTAGCGGCTTTAATTATAAACTATAACCCAGAAGAATGGAGATTGTTTATAGATAGTTCAACATTGAGCATATTGGAAATATTTTACCATCTCTTCCTGTAGGGTATGCAGTTCACATGAAAGAATCATATGACAATATGAAGTACCTATTGACATGCATAAAATACGATGAGCACCAATGGCATATTTGTGGCGATTTGAAAGTTGTTGCACTTTTACTTGGGCTGCAGCTAGGCTACACAAAGTTTTGCTGTTTTTTGTGTGAATGGGACAGTCGGGCAAAGGCACTTCATTACACCAGACAAAACTGGCCTGTTCGTCAATTCCTAGAGCCAGGTCAAAAAAATGTACAGCATATGCCATTAGTAGATTCTAAAAAAAATTTATTACCACCACTGCATATCAAGTTGGGCCTAATGAAAAACTTTGTCAAGGCATTAGATAGAGATGGGTCAGCTTTTCAATACCTGCGTCAGAAATTTCCAAGACTAAGTGAGGCAAAGGTTAAAGAAGGTATTTTTGTTGGGCCACAGATTCGAAATATTTTGAAAGATACACAGTTTGAAAACACTTTAACAGGTATTGAAAAAACTGCTTGGAATGATTTCCGTCTGGTGGTCACTAATTTCTTGGGAAATAGGAAAGCTGACAACTATAAAACCCTTGTTAAAAATATGCTGTCATCGTATCAAAAGATGGGCTGTAATATGTCTCTTGAGATACATTTCCTACACTCACACCTGGACTTTTTTCCTGACAATTGCGGAGCCGTAAGTGATGAGCACGGCGAACGTTTTCATCAGGATATTTCAACAATGGAAAAAAGGTACCAGGGAAAGTGGAATCCTTCCATGCTTGCAGACTACTGTTGGACTCTTGGTAGAGATGCCCCAGAAACGATCCATAAAAGAACAGCAAAAAGACAGCGCATATAGTGATTCTTATAAGTATATGAATCTTGTTACTTTTTTTAATATATCCTTAAAAATAAAAAGTTTTTTTTCTAAACCGCAACTAATTTTTTTCTTTCATTATCATTTTTGGATTCAGCGCCCCAAAATTAACAAAGAAGTGCACTTTTCCCACAAGATACAATTAAAAAACTAAAATTTGTTGTCCAATTATAATTGGAATAGACGTGAGTAGCATCTTTTTAGAATTTTTTGTCAGGCTGTGATGTTCGGATATAAGGTAAAAAAAGTACGACATGTAGAATGGAAAAGTATACCTGTTAGGGACACTAGATCGTTATTTGAAGAATATCGCAAACAAGTGGACATCATCGTTGCGAGAATTTACGCGACAGGGAAAATAACTCTGTATAAATTACAAAGTTCCACTCTTCACAATTCTAATGCATTCCTCTATCGTAGAACAAATCATAATTTAGTTGCCGAGCTTCTAAATACGTTTTATAAAATTTCTAGGTTGAAAAATGCAGCTAATTCTGAATCCTCAAGTTCCTATCGGGTCAACCTTTAAATCCACTAAAAGACTGAACAGAGCAAAGAAACTCGTTGGATATTATTAGTTTTCCACCTTTCATCCACTCTGACACACCTAACAAAGATATTTTGATTCACCCGCAATTCCAGTCGATCTATTTCTAGTGACAGTCGTCATAACACATGGTCAAACATTTCAAACCACTCACACATCAAAAGTAGTAGATTTTTCGAAAACAGATGATAGATGCTACCAGCAAACTCGATTATTCTGAATGCCAATTGGACATGTGCCATGTATTTGTTTTGACAATGTGGCATTTAGCAAACGTTTATGAAAACCTGTGAGATTTCCCGTAATCTTCAGGTAAACAACTCAATTTGCTATAGTAGCACACACAGAGTGAATGATTTCTCAATACTGAAACTTACTTAGACTACGCAGAACAAAAAAATATTTTGGCAAGTAAATTCCTCTGATCTCGAAATTTGAGTTCCACTACGTTGACAAAAACAAAATTGAAACAATCAATTTTGGATTTTTTACTGTTGCACTGCACGTTTTATTTGCATTAATTTTAGCTTGTTCAAAAATATCGGTATGTTTATTTTGGATCTTGATGTCACGATGTAGAAAATTTCGTTCATAAAAGCTCCTTCCAAGGACCCTGAGAGGCTGTGATTTACGAAGCTCCATACAAGTGAAGTATTACGAAAAATAAACGCCATTATAGTGGTCTGATCGCCATAAAACGCACTAGGCGCTAGCTTGTAGGATAACTGACTCCACGCCCACCCTGGTGAACGCCACCTGTGGAGGAATAGCACAACGACAGTGATTTACCTGAACTGCACGTAGATCATGGAAGCTAAGAACGCCAGTGCTGTTGCTGAAGCAGATGTTATACTAAGTCAAACACAAAAATTGAAGGCGATCACGAGCGTCAGGTTGCGTCTGACATTCGCCATCGCTTTCGCATTTACGTAATAAGGCTACCATTATGATCATTTGAAGCAAGTTTTTGGTAAGGGATCCGATGTAAATCTGTAATCGTTTTCTCCTTCTGGGCATCACCAACTGGTTAGGCTACTGCCTTATGTGAGAGTGAGGTACAATAATCAAATGCAAGCAAGAACCAACGTGTATTTCCCTGTATTTGTCCATTATCGCTCATGAAAGAGCGAAATCGTCTCCGTTACATTCTTGTTTCGTTTTTCACGCAGTGAACTATTGGACAACGGCTTCGTATTCTCATAAAGTTCGTTCTATTGTTGCTATTAAACGCTTTGGGTTCTTTAGGTGTTTCAGTGTTCTTCGTATTTCTACCAAGAAACCTTTTCCTAATAATAATTCTGTATAATAATTCTTTACTTTTTTGATGCCGATATTCCATACAACGTTATTGGTCACTGTATAGAAGGCAGGCAACTTCTGACAGGTATAATGTAGACTGAAACTTTTAACTAGCCCATAACGGCTCGAGGTACAGACAAAATTAGCCCAAACCCTTACCTAGAGAAAATCAAACTACTACTATACTACAAAACTACTACTACAACTACCACTACTACAAAAATAAGGAAATGAAAATATGATCGATCTCTACAATAAATGAACAAATACTCAAGAAAATGCATATAAGACACAACAATAATAATCATTGAGTACCATTTCTGCATTTTTATTGCATCAGAATTTCTTGTAGTAATCGATCACATGAAGACAGAGTTTCACCAACTAAGAGTATCTACATTCTTGAAGAAGAAAAAAACAGGAGTTATTAAACCGTTATATCCAGAAGTTAGTTTATATCTGTATTTACTGTATTCACTGTATACGTATGATCCGAAACCCCCAGATAGTGATTACCAATTAATTTTTTGTTGCAAAGCTCAACTAAATACAAAGCAATAAATATATTATCGCATTAGCAGTCAATTCAGCATCAACCAACTCTAGTTTTATAATCAGGCATGCATGGTGTCAATACCGAATTATATAAAAAAATATTCACCTGTTGCCATTGGTCTTTCCTCATCAGACTCCCCATCTGAAATAAATATTAAACTATTCAATTTTCGTGATTTTTTCTGGACTCGAAAAGGTTTAAAATTTTGTTTACACGGTTCGATTTCTAAACTGATGAACTGTCAATATCAAACTGACAGACGAATCTACTGAAAAAATATCAAATCCGATAAGCATAGGTGCTAAACGAGTTTTTGTCGTCCGAGGAGGTACCACCCCGAAAATCTTGACGGTGACGTTAGATTGTATGCGTAGTCACATTTTTTCACGTCACGTGACAAAGAAAATATAAGGTCAACGAATGTATATCGGCCAAATAACTAGTAACGATTTGATAATTAAGCGTCATGGTCTCATCGATATGTTTAGCTTTTTTGCTTATTTATTTGTGGTAGTATTTTTATTTGAATTCATGAAACATTCACGAAATACGAACCCAGTCATTTTTTTAAATACGATTCCTAATAAATGCTTTTTACAACAGATTAAATGCGATCTTAATACAAACTGGAATTTAACCCCAAACACAGCATACGTAAACGTTAATCATAAAATATAATCCATTAACATCTTATGACTTAAATGTCAACTCTAACGTTGGAGTGTGTGGTATTGTGATTGCCAAAACTCTATACTGAAAAAATGAACCTTAGTTGTAAAAAGTTATGAGTGCTTTTGTTAAGAGAGCTTTTGTCGAACTTGCTACCTGAACGGTGATATTGTGGCAATTTTCAACCCAAGTATGTGATCTGTATTACGTACGTATTTAAGGTTAGAAGTAATCGTTGAGAGAAACCTTAACGCCTGAAAAGTCGTTCATATACTCGTAAAAGTACGAATATTGTGAAGTAGAACGTAAGTTTTCTTTAGTGATATTTGTGAGAATAATAGGATGACTCATCGTATATCTTATACGCGTTACTTGTAAGCAAATGTTTTATTGATGTAAAGTTGCCTTGAATTTTTTGAAACATGAGCCGGAATTACTCGTAAAATAAACAACAAATCAAGTCGCCGTGCCGTGATCACATGAAACGAGGAAAACGTGAGGGTCATACATTCCAGATTATGTAAAAACTGTGTACTTTTAATTATAAAGAATTCTGCAATTAATTCTGTTTGTCTTATTATTCAAATGTGTCCTGTTCGGCGAATGTCACTGCGCTTTCATGTAAAAGACGATTTTTCATTAGAAATTCAAATACAGGCAATTCTGATTATCATATCTGAGAATCAAAGAGAGTCTGCTCTCGAGAATCGAACATTCATAATAAATATGTGATGTAAGGGCAAATACATGCACGTCGATTTTAACCGAAGCGGTGAAAGCATCAGTTATCTAGTCGATACCCGGCTCACAGTTCTTGCAAAAATAAGGTAATTTCCCTAATAATACATACACCACAGAATAACAAGGGTATTAGATTTTGGAAAAATCTGTGTTTACAATCGAACTTTAGAAATTTGAACATGGCACATTCCAATGGCAATCATGAACATCATCTAAGTATAAGTATTTAGGTCGTTATCCTGGACGTTTGCATCCAACGACTCATAGGTTTATTTATCCCGTACAAGGCCGTTTGTAAGAACGTTGAGTAGAGAAGCTAGACAGTCCCAAAAACGAACTAGCCGATTTTATGGTAGTTTACGATAAGTTCAAGATGCTGCTGGTACTTCGCAAGTATAAGTATTCAGATCATTTTCCTGGACGTTTCCATCCCGCGACTCATAGGTTTATTTATCCCGTACAAGGCCGTTTGTAAGAACGTTGAGTAGAGAAGCTAGACAGCCCCAAACATGAACTTGCCTCCGCATGACCTTCTCACTCTATACAAGGCCCAGATAAGGCCTAGCCTCGAGTATTGCTCACACATTTGGGGTGCTGCCGCCCAGACTACATTGTCCATCCTCGATGCTGTCCAGGGGAGGGCGGTCCGACTGATCGATGACTCTTCTCTAACAGACAGTCTCGGGACTCTCTCGCACCGGCGGGCCGTCGGCGATCTAGCTCTTTTCTATCGCTACACCAACGGGCTTTGCTCCTCAGAGCTCTCTTCCATGATGCCGCCGCGCGATGTGCCTGCCAGACAGACCCGCCTGACTTCGGCGTCCCATCCTAACCGTGTCAAACTCCGTACATCCAGAACTGGCCGATACGGCCGCTCCTTTGTCCCGAGGGTGTCTAGATTGCGGAACAATCTACAAGAGGAAGCTTTTCCCAGTTCTACTAACCTTAGGCAGTTCAAAAATCGTAATAACAAAATTTCTTTGGGATCATCATAGCAGCCGCGGTGTTCCGGCATTTAGGCTTCTGCCTGCGCGGCTCTTCCGATATATATATAAAAAAAAACTTGCCGATTTATAAGTTCGATGAGTTCAAGATGCTGTTGGTGCCTCGCAAGTATAAGTACTCAGATCGTTTTCCTGGACGTTTCCATCCCGCGATTCATAGGTTTATTTATCCCGTAAAATGCCGTTTGTAAGAACGTTGAGTATAGAAGCTAGGCAGCTCCAAAAACGAACTTGCCGATTTTATGGTAGTTTGCGATAAGTTCAAGATGTTGCTGGTGCTTCGCAAGTATAAGTATTCAGATCACTTTCCTGGACATTTCCATCCCGCGACTCATAGGTTTATTTATCCCGTACAAGACCGTTTGTAAGAACGTTGAGTAGCGAAGCTAGACAACCCCAAAAACCAACTTGCCGATTTTATGGTAGTTTACGATCAGTTCAAGATGCTGCTGGTGCTTGGCAAGTATAAGTACCCAGATCGTTTTCCTGGACGTTTCCATCCCGCGGTTCATAGGTTTATTTATCCCGTATAAGGCCATTTGTAAGAACGTTGACTATAGAAGCTAGGCAGCCCCAAAAACGAACTCACCGATTTTATGGTAGTTTACGATAAGTTCAAGATGCTGTTGGTGCTTCGCAAGTATAAGTACCCAGATCGTTTTCCTGGACGTTTCCATCCCACGACTCATAGGTTTATTTATCCCGTATAAGGCCGTTTGTAAAAACGTTGAGTATAGAAGCTAGGCTGCCCCAAAAACGAACTCGCTGATTTTATGGTAGTTTACGATAAGTTCAAGATGCTGCTGGTGCTTCACAAGTATAAGTACCCAGATCGTTTTCCTGGATGTTTCCATCCCGCGACTCATAGGTTTATTTATCCCGTACAAGGCCGTTTGTAACAACGTTGAGTAGCGAAGCAAGACAGTCCCAAAAACGAACTTGCCGATTTTATGGTAGTTTGCGATAAGATCAAGATGTTGCTGGTGCTTCGCATAAGTACTCAGATCGTTTTCCTGGATGTTTCCATCCCACGACTCATAGGTTTATTTATCCCGTACAACGCCGTTTGTAAGAACGTTGAGTAGCGAAGCTAGACAACCCCAAAAACCAACTTGCCGATTTTATGGTAGTTTACGATCAGTTCAAGATGCTGCTGGTGCTTGGCAAGTATAAGTACCCAGATCGTTTTCCTGGACGTTTTTATCCCGCGATTCATAGGTTTATTTATCCCGTATAAGGCCGTTTGTCAGAACGTTGAGTATAGAAGCTAGGCAGCCCCAAAAACGAACTAGCCGATTTTATGGTAGTTTACGATAAGTTCAAGATGCTGCTGGTACTTCGCAAGTATAAGTATTCAGATCATTTTCCTGGACGTTTCCATCCCGCGACTCATAGGTTTATTTATCCCGTACAAGGCCGTTTGTAAGAACGTTGAGTAGAGAAGCTAGACAGCCCCAAACATGAACTTGCCTCCGCATGACCTTCTCACTCTATACAAGGCCCAGATAAGGCCTAGCCTCGAGTATTGCTCACACATTTGGGGTGCTGCCGCCCAGACTACATTGTCCATCCTCGATGCTGTCCAGGGGAGGGCGGTCCGACTGATCGATGACTCTTCTCTAACAGACAGTCTCGGGACTCTCTCGCACCGGCGGGCCGTCGGCGATCTAGCTCTTTTCTATCGCTACACCAACGGGCTTTGCTCCTCAGAGCTCTCTTCCATGATGCCGCCGCGCGATGTGCCTGCCAGACAGACCCGCCTGACTTCGGCGTCCCATCCTAACCGTGTCAAACTCCGTACATCCAGAACTGGCCGATACGGCCGCTCCTTTGTCCCGAGGGTGTCTAGATTGCGGAACAATCTACAAGAGGAAGCTTTTCCCAGTTCTACTAACCTTAGGCAGTTCAAAAATCGTAATAACAAAATTTCTTTGGGATCATCATAGCAGCCGCGGTGTTCCGGCATTTAGGCTTCTGCCTGCGCGGCTCTTCCGATATATATATAAAAAAAACTTGCCGATTTATAGTTCGATGAGTTCAAGATGCTGTTGGTGCCTCGCAAGTATAAGTACTCAGATCGTTTTCCTGGACGTTTCCATCCCGCGATTCATAGGTTTATTTATCCCGTAAAATGCCGTTTGTAAGAACGTTGAGTATAGAAGCTAGGCAGCTCCAAAAACGAACTTGCCGATTTTATGGTAGTTTGCGATAAGTTCAAGATGTTGCTGGTGCTTCGCAAGTATAAGTATTCAGATCACTTTCCTGGACATTTCCATCCCGCGACTCATAGGTTTATTTATCCCGTACAAGACCGTTTGTAAGAACGTTGAGTAGCGAAGCTAGACAACCCCAAAAACCAACTTGCCGATTTTATGGTAGTTTACGATCAGTTCAAGATGCTGCTGGTGCTTGGCAAGTATAAGTACCCAGATCGTTTTCCTGGACGTTTCCATCCCGCGGTTCATAGGTTTATTTATCCCGTATAAGGCCATTTGTAAGAACGTTGACTATAGAAGCTAGGCAGCCCCAAAAACGAACTCACCGATTTTATGGTAGTTTACGATAAGTTCAAGATGCTGTTGGTGCTTCGCAAGTATAAGTACCCAGATCGTTTTCCTGGACGTTTCCATCCCACGACTCATAGGTTTATTTATCCCGTATAAGGCCGTTTGTAAAAACGTTGAGTATAGAAGCTAGGCTGCCCCAAAAACGAACTCGCTGATTTTATGGTAGTTTGCGATAAGATCAAGATGTTGCTGGTGCTTCGCATAAGTACTCAGATCGT